GATCAATGAGCCAGTCGTTAGTTGGTAGACAGTGGTGCAGTATCTGCCACTGGAGGGACGTAATCTTTGCAGGTCTGCTCTTGGTGTTGGCAAACCATCGCACAGGTGTGAGGAGTTGTTTATCCACGTTGAGGTGCCTCTGCCATCTTTCAATTACCACATCTTCCAGGTTCCGTTTGGTTCTGATTTTTCTGTAGGTTGCTTTTACTGAGAGGTCAGCCAACGCTATGGAGCTTGGCTGCCACTGTTTATGGCATGCGTCATAGGTCCAGATCCACTCCAGCGGGTCCAACGAGAGGTCCCGAATGGCCATCTCGGGCATGAATACCTTCCGCTTCTCCCCTTCCCCTATAGTCCTAATTCTATATAGGGTCACCTTCGGTATCCATTGGAAGGGATCCCGACTACTCACTAAATATCCCCCTTCCCTTATGTTGTACCATTCAATCAGTGCATCCTCTGGTCGTACTGAGTGCACTAAGCCTGCTCTATCCGTCCATCCATCCTTGGATACCCAGTCCCCTTCCTGCAGCAGCGGGCCTTTGCGTAGGATGAGCCTCCACCCCACCAGAAGGGTTTCCGTGATCTCCTCCACTACTGGTTCTGCATTGTGGCAGTACCTCAGGCACTCCTTCACCTCCCTCGGATCCTTCCAATCTTTCCTCTCATCATCCCACAGGTCTCCCACTCGGGTGATCCCATTTTTCACCCATCCCTTCCATGGGGTATCGGAGCTACAGTAGATCTGGCTTTGACCATTGGTGATCCAGCGGTTGCCGAAAAGGGGTTGTCTAGCCACTTCATCCCACCTGGTTGGGGGTGGACAGCAGGGGGGAGGAAGTCTCCTCTAAGTTTTTAACAGTCGGGGCCAGAAGTCATCTTGTCGCTTCTCCCCCCCCCTAGGACGATGTGGCACTCTCCAGTAACGGTCATCTAGCAATTGAAGCGGATGAATTGTGGGGGGGGCCTTCGGGGCCAGCCGGGCGATTTGTTGGAGGGCCAGAGGCCGCCATACCAGCGGGTTGGCAAAGATCAGCTTCACTATCCATTGCAGGCTAAGAGCATGGGACTGCGTAAGGGGGTCTAATATGCCTAGCCCTCCTCTTGTCTTAGGTTGGGTAACCGAGTCCCATGCGACCCGACTGATGGCGTGCGGGGTTTCGCTGTCCCCTCTCCAGAGGTAGGCAGTCACTTTCCTCTTCAGGGATTTCAGGGACCCATCACTCAACGGCCAAAGAACCGCCTTATACCAAAGAGACGTCAGGACCACATTGTTGATGACCAGCGCCCGACCGAAGAGGGACGTGTTCTGGTGATTCGACTGGGAAAGTTTGGCGAGCGCAGAGGCTGAGATCCATTTGTCATTCTCCGTGGTCCTTCCTTCTGCGGACATCTCGACTCCTAGAACCCGGATCGGGGTCCCCTGGGGGACCTATGTGACCTGCTGCCCTTCCGGGGGTCGCCCCCCTTGGTGATGGAGCCACCAGCCTAGCGTTTTTTGTCCCCAGTTTACAGCCATATCAGAGAGGGTGCAGAACCGCTCCATTAACCTCTGAATTTCCTCCATGTTCTTCTGTGTGGCATGGACCATGATCGTAAGATCGTCTGCAAACAAGGAACAAACTGGGATCGCGGCCTCTGGGATGCCGGCAATCCGAATTCTTGCTAAGTCCTTACTTTGCCGGAGGTTGGCTGCTAGTGCTTCCATTATGATGATGAATAGGAAGGGGGCCACCGGGTCTCCCTGTCTCACCGAGCGCTGTAGCTTTACATCTGGAGCCAGGAACCCATTAATCTGCACCGTCGTGGTTGCGTTCTGGTGTAGGATGCCAACCCACCTCCTAAAAATTGTTCCAAAATTAATTTTTTCTAGGCATCTGTCCAAGAATAGCCAATCGACATGATCGTAGGCTTTTTCAAAGTCAATGAAGATGAAAGCTGCGTTGTTCTTAGATTGCTGTGCCAGGCTAATCATCTCATTGACCAAGAGTATGTTTTCTTGGATGTTTCTATTGCGGATGAAACCAGTCTGGGCTGGGTGGATAAGATCCTCGATCACCTTGATCAATCTGTTTGCCAATGCTTTTGACAGCATCTTGTAGACAGCTGTCAAGAGCGTAATAGGCTGGTAATTTCTAATGTTCATTTTGTCCCCTTTTTTGTGCAGTAGAGATAACACCCCCTGCCCTGCCAGTTCCCCCAGATCCCCTCATTCCCATACCGCCCTGTAAAACTGCATTAGGTCCCCACTAAGGAAGGGCCACATGGCTTCCCATAATTCTTTCGGGAATCCATCGAGCCCAGGGGTTTTTTCTTCCTCCATTTGCATGAGGACCGTCCAGATTTCTTCCTTGGAGATAAGGCGGTCTAGTTTATCCCTCTGCGAGGGGGAAAGGCGGTTTTCTATTGGGCATAGGAAGTTGTCCATCTCGTTAAGTCGGTCGGACTCGGATTGTCGGAGGACGTGGGAGGAAAAAAGGTCCTTATAAAAGGATCTGGCGATCCTTATGCAATGGGCTGTGGTTGTGGCCAGTTCATCGGTCACGGGGTCTAGTAAGGCCTCAATGGTGGTGCGGTGAGCTCTTATTGATGCCATGCTAAAAAATTGCGAGTCCATGGTGCCTTCAATGGTCCATTTTTTAAGTTTGCCGCGGATTCTGATTCCTTGCCATCTGTGTGATGCGAGCTGCAATAGTTGGTCCTTCAGTCCTTGAATCGTCAGAGTGTGATTGCTCGAATTGTCCTGATTGACCAGGTTATGAAGCTGTTTGTGAATGTCCACTTCCTGTGCATGCCGTCTGCCCGCTACTAATTTCGAGTACTCCTTACATTTCTTAGCTAGGAAAAACAGTCCGTTAGTAAACCATCGCACCTCCGAGTCAAAAAATTGTCTTTGGTCTCGCCAATACCCCCATACGTCGCGGATATATTCAAGAAAGGATGCGTCCTTGAGTAAGGACGTGTTAAGCTTATAATACCCAGGCCCCTGATCCGGGCGTTTCCGAAATGAGAAGATGGCCCCGCATGAACAGTGGTCCAGGCCGGGATGGGGGCTCTGTGGAAAGATGACGGCCTGTTGTAGGGCATTTTGGATTTCCTCTGATATTAGTATCAAATCTATACGTGATTTTGAGTGTCTTGTCGGGTCATTGGTACGGAGGCAAGTGAAGGACTTTTCTGTTGGGTGTAGGTATCGGTATGCGTCGACCAGTCCCAGGGTACCGCAGAGGTCCGCTATTATTATCTCGTCCTCCTCTACGTAATTCGGACAGGGGGTTTGGATGTTCCACCTGTCCATCCATCTATCAGGTGCAGCGTTGAAATCCCCTGCAATAATGAGCAGTACACCCTGAGGTATCTGGGTTTTGAGGTATGTGAACAGGCGGTCCTTCTCGGCCGTTGTATTAGGGGCGTAAACGCAAAAGATGCATATTAGTTCCAGCTCCAGCATCCCCAGGATCGACACCCACCTCCCTTGTTCTTCATCCACCACCCAGTGTACTACCTCGAGACGGGACCCGGGCGGTACCCAGATCGCCTCTCATACTGACTTTCAGGAGTAGACAAACGCGATAGACATTTTTCTCGGGTGAGAAGAGCACGAAAATTTACGAACAAATTATGCTGGAGCGGAGCTATATACTTCATCAGAACAAAGAATTTATAAATTATTAGCAATTTATTACATCAAATTACAAGTGGATGAAATCGGTAGAGAGGTTTAGGTATGAGATGGAAAAAACTTCGCTGGATGTCACAAAATTCGAAATGCTTTGTTTTTTTTCTTCAATCACCAGTACTTGGCCCCTCCACTTTTCTCCAATGTGGCCGTTACCCTGCCATAAGTTTTCTGCGCCTCAGACTATTGGAGCAAAATCGCTGGCGGCGGCAACCAGAAGGAGGACCCACACCGGTTCTTTTTCTGTCTACGCGTGGGGTGTTTCCAGGGTCAGAAAAATGTCGCCCAAAAGTACGGGGGTGGTCCACGAGTACTTGGCCCAGATATCGGCTGTGGAAAAAAATAGACCAGAAACATTTCTAGTCGGATGAATTTGGGCGCTCCTGTAGTGGTCCGTACGTCTCCTAAAATTGTTGCTTGTTACCGGGCACAACTTTAGGAAATACTGGTGGTTTTATGACCACCAGAACACGGGCCCAGCCTTGAAGAAAATCGCGAGCTGCCAACTCCGAACCTCCAAACTTTTCGGGGCTCAGGACTGCTGGACCACAATGGCTGGCGGCACCAGTCAAAGAAAGTGAAAAAGTGTACCGCTGGCGGTTTGGGAAAAGCTTGGTGCAGTGCACAGTGCAGCGCCTCCACGCCCGGGTGTACTGGTGGTTTAAGGCGCCAAACCGGCTGCCGAAACGGATCAAACTGGTCCACGATAGGCGGGTAAATTGAATGTGAGGTCTCTGCTTCTATACCGGTGGTCAGAAGCAAGGAACAAAATAGACAGAGACAGAAGCGCGATGAGACTCTAAAGATATTGATGTTAGACACAGGGAGGTGGGAAGTACAACGGAAAGAGGGCAGCGGGGGCGGGGGAAGCAGAGGAAAAGAGGGGGAGAGAGAGAGAGAGAGAGAGAGAGAGAGAGAGAGAGAGAGAGAGAGAGAGAGAGAAAACAAGAAAGAACTGTAATCAAATCAGCTCCCCATAGCAGCAACCAAATGTCGATCACCCGTCCCATAGTGAGAAAATGCGTCAGAAGCTGCCGTACAACTGCTCCATACGTCAGAGTGAAGAGCTCTGCGTTCTACACAGAATCACCCCCCCAGAAAAAAAAGATTCAGAAAGNTTCGTTAAAGTTCGAGATTGAACAATTGGTAAAGGAAAGGGTTGATCAATATACATAAAAAAAGTGGTTTTTTTTTTCTTTTCTTTATTCATAACCTGTCTCTTATACACATCTAGATGTGTATAAGAGACAGGAGAGAGAGAGAGAGAGAGAGAGAGAGAGAGAGAGAGACGTGAGGGACTGAAACAGGAAAAGGCACTCACATGGTGTCCAGTTGTTTGTTGACTTCATTTATGTCCTCCAAATCCGTCAGAAGCTGCCGTACAACTGCTCCATACGTCAGAGTGAAGAGCTCTGCGTTCTACACAGAATCACCCCCCCAGAAAAAAAAGATTCAGAAAGTCCTGTACTCGGTGATCTTATCCAAGATCGACAAAAGTTAGAAAACACAACAAGGGATCATAGACTACCTTCGAGCACGAACATAAACACAAGAAGAAATTCACAAAAAAAAACAAAAGATGCAGAGCTACCAAAGCACCACAGACCAGGAGAGAACGAGGGTAAGGGGAGGGGAGTGAGAGGACTGAGAGTGGGAGGAGGGAGAGGAGGGAAAGTGGGAGGGAGAGTGGGAGAGAGGGAAGACGGCCATAGGGAGAAGAAAGTGAGAGGAGGGAGAGTGAGAGGAAGAGTGGGAGGGAGACAGAGGGAGATTGGGAGGGAAAGAAGGGGATATGCTGGATGAAAAAAAGCAGATTGGTGCTGAAGAAGAGCAAAGGCCACAGGAAGAAGAGGAATAAGGGGAGAAATTGAGAAAGGGAGCCTCAGGCGGCACAGAGAGGTGGGGTTGCAGAAGGAGAGCATAACAATGATTGATGGATGGATGGATGGATAGGAATGCCAAGCCAGACAACTGCACTCCAAGGGGGAGAAAGATCCCAAAACTGTTCTGCATTCCGCCATAGCTATCTGGCAGACCACCATAGCTAAGAGGGTTTATAGCTATCCAGCAGACAGCCATAGCTAAGAGGGTTTATAGCTATCCAGCAGACCGCCATAGCTAAGAGGGTTTATAGCTATCCAGCAGACCGCCATAGCTATAAGAGGGTTTATAGCTACCCAGCAGACCGCCATAGCTATCCAGCACACTGCCATAGCTATACTGCAGACCGCCATAGCTAAGAGGTTTTATAGCTATCCAGCAGACCGCCATAGCTATAAGAGGGTTTATAGCTANCAGCACACTGCCATAGCTATACTGCAGACCGCCATAGCTAAGAGGTTTTATAGCTATCCAGCAGACCGCCATAGCTATAAGAGGGTTTATAGCTATCCAGCAGACCGCCATAGCTATCCAGCAGACTGCCATAGCTATACTGCAGACCGCCATAGCTATAAGAGCGTCTCCTCTTCCTGTGAATGACAAAAAGAAGATTTGTTTGCCACTCCACACCACCCTCTCCCGTATACATCGCACCTTCTTCCTCCGAATACAACTCACCCTCATCTGCCTGTTGTCCATGCCCTACACGTGCGCCGTGTGATAACGGAACAACTCCACTGAATCCTATCTATTCCTTCTTCCTCAAAATACAACGCACCCTCCTCATGACTGTATCGGCCCTGAAAAATGGTTTGTATACGCTCAAGAGCAGAATGGTGCTGACGAACAGAATGGCTATACTTGGATGAAGAGGGCAAATATCTGAATGGAGATCGAAAACCTACACCAGTACAGGATGGAGATTTAAACCTAATATTTTTGGATCCTTGGCGCGCAACCCTGTTCGCGATCTTTCAGAAATGCATTACAAGGATGAAACAAAGGGGGACTTGCCGCACCACTCACCAAATGTGCACAAAATCAGAATGTATTTACCGGTAGGACGTGGACAGATGCACCCGCCATATTTTTGTCTTTTTCACATTAGGTAAGTGGCGTGGCGAGGCCCAAGACCAAGCAAGCCCTCCTTTCTTCTTCAAGAATGCGTCTCGAGAAGAACTCATATTCTTCTTCTTTCTTCTACGTCTTTCTTAGATCAATTGCTCAATTTGCAGAAATTTCACACAGTGAAAGTCTTTCTTATTTCTTGTTTCTTCTTCTTCTTTTTCTTTCTTCTTGTGTCTTTTTCTGTGTCCTTCTTTCTTCTTTGTTGTCTTCTTTCTTCTTTGTTGTCTTCTTTCTTCTTTGTTGTCTTCTTTCTTCTTTGTTTCCTCTTTCTTCTTCTTCCGTCTTTTTCTGCCTCCTTTCTTCTTTCTTCTTCTTGTTGCTATTCACCTGTACTTGCGAATGTGGAATGAAAAGCTTGAGCAGCACGTACTGAAAGAGCAGTTACGCCACTGTTCATCACCATTTTTTTTTGTCTTTTTCTGTCTCCTTCTTTCTTTCTTATTCTTTCTTCTTTCTTCTTCTAACTTCTTCTTCTGTCGTCTTCTTCTGTCGTCTTATTCTGTCTTCCTCTTTCTTCTTCGCGTTTCTACTGAGAACTATGCACGCGGAAGTGAAGTGTCTGTCTATGGTTGCGTGTACGAGAAGCAGTTTATGGCCACTGTTTTCACTATTCTTCTTTCGTCTTCTTCTTGTCTTCTACTTCTTCCTTCTTCTTCTTCTGTCTTCTTCTTTGGTCGTCTTCACTCTTCTTCTGTCTTCTATGCCCATTCGATAACTCGATAAATAAGTAAATTTTACGATCCTTCAATGGACTGATTGGTCCATTAATCAACTGATAGATTGCTTCTGAGTCATTGATTGATTCAATGGTTCATCGATCGATTGATTGATTGGTTCATTGACTGATTGATTGATTGGTTCGTCAATTCATTGATTCGTTTTGATTGGTTGGTTTAATGATTGATTGATTGGTATAATGACTGGTTGGATCATGGATTGGTTGATTGATTCACCGATTCACTTGACTGGTTTATGGATTGATTGATATATTGCTTGATTGGTTCATGGATTGGTTGATTGGTTCACTGATTCACTGGTTGATTTATTCATTCATCGATTCATTCACTGCTTGAATAGTTTATGGATGGATGGATGGATGGATTGATCGAATGATTCAATGTTTCAATGATTCATTGATTATGTGTGGACAAACTGAACTCGTTGATCAATTGATTCGTCTATTGCTGGATTGATTGATTCTCGTAAATCAAACTCCTTTGACCGAATCTGGGGAAAATGTAGATTTTTTTGCACTTGATTCGTCTATTACTGGATCGATTGATCGCGTAAGTCAAACTCCTTTTGATTCGTCTTTTGCTGGATTGATTTGATTTGCGTAAATTAATCTCCTTTGATTGAATCTCTGGGGGCGGGAAAGAAAGATTCTTCTTTACGATCGCCTTCCGCAGTTTGAAAGCTGATTTGCATCTCTCTCTCTCTCTCTCTCTCTCTCTCTCTCTCTCTCTCTCTCTCTCTCTTTTCCCGGCACCACCCCCTCGGTCTGTCTTTAGCTCACATTGGTTCAGCTTGCACGGGAAACGAGACCGGAGGAGTAAGATGGAGGGCGACGACAACGATACAGAACAGAAAGTACGACTATTTGAAGAGGAGGGGCAAAAAAAAGGACAAACCGATAAGGACGCACGACGAGAAGGAACAAAAAGAGGCTGGAGGAAGGAGGAAGAGGAGAATAAGGTAGGAGGATAAGGTAGGAGGATAAGGTAGGAGGATAAGGTGGGAGGAAGAGAACGATGAAGGACGAAGGAGAGACGAAGAAGAGGGAGGAGGACGGCATGGTCACCATCGTTGTTTTCCGTTTTCTTTTTTCTCCCTTTCTATATCCGTCGACCTGCCTCCCCCCAAGCAATCAAGGGATGACTTTTTTTTTTCAAAACGCAAACCGCGAGCTTGGCTAGCTGCCCACCTCCGTCACTCAATTGTGATCCGTTTTCTTTTTTTCTCTTTTCCGATCCCTCGATCCGCCTCCCCGCAATCAATCAATCAATAGATGGAAATTTTAAAAATCACAAACACGCTGTCCGCCCCGGAAATTCAATCAATCAATCAATCAATCAATCAATCAATCAATCAATCAATCTAGCAGTTACTCTTTCTGATAACATAGTTGTTTTCCTTTCCATGTCCTCGGTAGCACACGATCCTTCTCTTCCTCTCCCTCCCCCCCCTCCAGTTCCCTCGTCACCTCTCCTCCGTCGTTTTCTCTCATCCCCTCTGTTGGGCCGCGACGGGTCCAATTGTCCAAGACCTCTTCCGCGGGCACGATGCCTACATATATATCGTCAAATATATGAATATATATCGTCAAACAGAACTGCCCGGTAAACCGTAGGCAGAGAGGGAGGGAGAAGAGGACAAGAAACGAGGGGCTGTGACAAACTGTTTCATCGGAGTTTCACCGACTCATCAGGAGGAGGCTGAACACTCGACAGTCTGCAGCAGAATCCCCACAAACTGATTACACTGTAAGTGATAGATAATCCACCTTAACCCCGGTTGTGGTTAAGCATCATCAACGACTGCCCGACAACTGATGATACCCCTCTGAGGAGGTGGACACCAACCACTGCCCTGTTCATCACCTCTTACGCACAAGGCCGGCCACGTGTATGATATATATGCTGGCTTGTGATGGGGTGTGAACCGACAGTCTGTAGAGTTTTCCATCTGGTGTGG